ATGCAAAGGTACAGGATCCCAATGATAAATGTAACTGTACTGTTTGCTTTAAGTGTACCAATAAACAATGTGGGGGGCAGAGAAGAAAAAAAATAAAATAAAATTGGTGACGTTTCCATCCATGTTATGAGCCAATCAAAATAATAGCAAAAATTGTTTTAAGTACAATCCCTACTGTCTGTGTACAGTAAATTAAGAATTTTTCCTTGATCAAATAAAATATATAACTTTAAAATGCGTTATGATTTTTCTCATGAGTTATCTAAAATTATTTTCTAATAAATAGGGACCCTATGGACTTGGATATCTGCTGGACAAGACTCTCCTCTGTGTAGTAAAAAAAAAAAAAAAAAAAAAGCACTGGCTGAATCAATTTTTTCAGTTTTATGCCCTGATGAAATTTTCTGGGTCTTTTCCCAGTCTTATGGTGACACACCCCCAAAAATATTACTAAATATATTATTATAAAATATGCTCATTTGTTATAATGGAAAGGTTAAGATTTCTTTGTCTAAAACACTAAAGTTTTCTGGGCCAGGGATTTAGCTCAGTGGTGCCACCACCTGCTTCTCAAGCACAAGGTCCCAAATTTGATCCCCAGTACCATTAAAAAAAAAAAAAAAAAAAAAAAGTTGCCTTTATTCCACCTCACTCCAGAAAGAATGGCTGCTACTACCATGAAATCAACCAATAACAAATGCTGGCAGGGCTGTGGGGAAGAGGAACCCTGCTCCACTGCTGGTGGGAGTGTAGACTGGAGCAACCACTGTGGAAATCAGTATGGAGATACCTCAGAAAACTAAGATTAGACGTCCCATTTGACCCAGCTATGCCCCTGCTGGGTATCTTCCCCAAAGAATTAAAAGAACCATACCACAGTGATACATGTGCACCCATGTTCATAGCACCGCAATTCATGATAGCTAAAACTTGGAAGCAGCCCAATTGCCCATCAACTGAATAAAGAAAATGTGTATGTGTTTTAATAAAATGGAGTACTACTCAGCCATAAAGCATGAGAAACTAGAGTCATTCATAGGAAAATGGATGCACATTGACGCCATACTCTAAAGTGAAATAAATAGGACACATATGTATAAATACCAAATAGTTTCTCTAATGTGAGAAACAAAATGTAAATAAGGACCAAAAGGTATAATAGATAATGTGAAATAGGAAGAAAAGATGCAAAGGAGGAGAAGTCACAGGAGTAGGGGAAAAGAAAGAAGAGAAGGGAATTAGTATGAGAAAAATAAAAAGTGGAAACAAAATCTTTGTAAATAGAGAGGGATGGAGAGATTGAAGGGAGGGCAGGGGAATAGGGAAAAAATAAGAACCAAGATGGATTATGCAAAGGTGCAAATTTCCAATGATGAATGAATGTCATTATATTTTATACCTTAAATGTGCCAATAAAATTAATTTTTAAAAAAGATATAGAAAGAGTTCCTTCAGTTGCCTCAAATGATTCATTTCATTTATTTCTTTATAATCAGACTATACCTGTTCTGACACTGGCAACCACTGACCTATTGCCATTCTCCATATTAAAGAAAACTAAAGTTTTCTGGAGCTATTAGGAGGTCATTGGTTAAACTTATAAACCTAGATTAAAAATAAAGATTCCTTGTTTACTAAGTTTCTTATGTTTTCCATTGTTAAAATTTTGGTTATTAAAACTGAGTTATAAAAAGGAAATTAAGTACTTCTAAAATGTTTTGTTATCAGTTTATAACTGGTTAAAGAAACAACTATTAGCTTATGACATAAACTATATGTCTAAAAACAAGATTTGCTGTAAGTCTAAGTTTATAAAGTTAAGACTACATAAGTTGAATACACAAAAAATAACAAAGTGATGCTCTCTTTTATACAATATACATCTAGACCTCAGATATAGAAGATTATCAAAATTTGGCATCTCCCTCTTTAAGTTTGGTTCTGCCATTTAAAACTTGCTATGGCAAACCCATAGTTCCAGCACTCTGGAGGCTGAGGCAGGAGGGTTGCCATGAGTTTTAGTTCAGCCTGGGCTACATAGTGAGTTTAAGGCCAGCCTGAATTACACGGCAAGACCTAGTGTGAAAAAAAATAATAAATGAAATTTTATCTGCATCTATTGGCTTTGATTAAACATTTTGTTATTATATAAGTGAAATTACATTTATATATTGGTTAATAAGCCTATTTGTACTTAAAAGCGCCATTTCCTAAACTTATAAGGCCTCTAAATATTTTCCTTAGTTCTTGTCAGTTACATTTTATAAACCTGGTTTAAAAAAATCTAAATTCTGCCTTAAGTGTAAAAACTAAGTAAATATATCCAAAGATGCCTATATAACTGTGACACTAATTATTGCCTCACAGCATATTAAATGTATTTGTGTTTCTCAAGTGTACAGGCCACCATCTTATACTGGTAACTTCCAGGCTACAGTTGTTTATAATGGCAAAAGTTTTATGCTTGTAGTATAGTTGCATTATAATGGTGATTTATAGTGCTAAAAGACATCTCCAGACTTTTTTAAACTCTCTGTAAGTTCCTTGCATATGTTCCTAGACATAAAAATCTTTAGTGTAAATTTTTGAGTGAGCATTCAATTGCTGCATACTTCTTCCTGCTTCCCTGCTATGTTGATAAAAATTAAAACAGCTTTGTGTCAGGAACAAGGATGCTTGTCCTGGATACAGACAACAGATGTCTATGTAACTGACAGAGATGCCTCAACTAATCGTGACAAAGACAAAGGCTGCAGCCTAACCTTGGTTTGGGGAGGCTGCATATACTGTGTGACCCCAAGATAAGGCAGGTGGCTCACACAGCCTGACCTCAGGGATCTAAACAGGATCCCATCTTTTGTTTTTTCTTTTCTTTCCACCTTTACCTCTTTTAGCCCTGGAATTCTCACTCTGACTTCCTGTCCTCAGTAAGAATGTCCTCCGGTACAGGGAGAACACCTCCCACGTGGTTTTTCTCTCCTGCATTCAGGCACAACACAGGGAGGGTGAAAGCAACATTTTTGTACCTTCTGTTTGTGTGTGGTTTTTTGGGGGGGAGGGGGGGTTGTGGGGTTTTTTGGTACTGAAGATTGAACTCAGGACCTTGCACTTGCAAGGCAGGTAGCGGAACCACTGAGCTAAATCCCTGGTCCTGTACCTGCTGTTTAAAAAGTGTTTTAGATGAAATGAATGCTTATCACAAAGTGGTGTATTTGGGGCCATGTTCTGAAGTTCTTTTTAACATATCTGGAGTTCAGCAGAAAAGAGAATGTAGAACAAATCTTACAAATCTCAGCATTTTCTAAAACTGAATCAAACACATGCATTTGATACTTGCAAAGGACCACAAATCTCAAGCAAATGAAATAAAAGCAAACCTCTATCTAGTCACACCATAGTAAAACTATACAACACAAGCATCTAAGAGTCTTCCAGAGACTAGGATTCTTTCTAGCACTTTCCCGCTGACAAGCCCTCCATGGCTTGGCAAGGCTCCACATTTCCATCTAGTAACCATAAGAAAACAAGAACAGAATGAGACTAATGGGTAGAAAATGTCTAGTCTCACTCTCAGTGATATATCTGGCATGAGTAAACTACTTTTGATATTTGATTTTAAAGGGGCATTGGATAATGGAAATTGAATAACGTTTATCCAATACTGTCCATGAAGAAACACGAAGACTCTGGGCCACTAGGAAGGTATGCAGTACACTGACTGTCCTGGTATCACTTCTTCCTGGACACTCATATTCCTTCCACTTGCTGGAACACTAACCAAGAATGGCCCATCAGAACTCCTCTGTTACTGCTTTTATCCCCAAAGAAGTTTCATTCATATACCTGTGAAATAAAAACCTAACTCTACAAAGCAGGACCTCATTCACGAATCCTCATGCTCCTATCATATGACACCTAGGACAGCTGCTTCTCAGGGCAGTTTTCAAAACCACTTGACTTCAGGAGAAAACGAGTAGAGAGAAAACAACACCAAGAATCCTGGGGGAAAAGTTTATTCTCCTTGCCAACATTTCTTTTGACATTTTATTAAGCAATGAGTGAGAATAAGAAATAATTTGGTTTCTTATTAATTTCAAAAAGCAGTAAGAAAATATCTATTTAGAAAAAAGGTCCACTTATTTTTTAAAAGACATTAGACTCATAAAAAGTGTTAATTTCAGCCCAGGGGATTTAGCTCAGTGGTTCTGCTGCCTGTCTTGCAAGTGCAAGGACCCGAGTTTGAACCCTGGTACCAAAACAAAAAAAAAAAGTGATAATTCCAATACCTGACCAAAGGTCACCCCTGAACAGCTCTATTCAGGTGAGAGTTCTCCATCCCACTGTTTTCTTCAGTGGGACCCTTTTCTTTTCTCCCTGACCCCTGATGCATGCTAGGCCAGTGCCCCATGCATTCCAGGCAAGTGCTCTACCAACGAGCTACACGCCCAGCCCTAGAAGGAGTTTTTGTTGGGCTTGTCTGAAAGTACTTCACAATGAATGAAGCCCTTCCAGCTCTTCGATTAAATGGATAAGCAGAGACAGAACAATAGAATCATAAGAAGCTAAGAAGAAAGTGAAAAAATATGGCCTAACTTCTAAGACCAATGATCTTTGAGTTGCTGAAGCCAGGACGGAAGGCAACCGGGAAGGGAGGGAAGCATAAGACACTGCACCTCCCCACATCCCCAGATGCGCTCCAGAGTTCCCTCCCGCCCCCTCTGCACAGGTGAAAGGTCTCCTGATGAAGGAGCCTGTGTCTTTCATAAGATAACATGATACTTCCATTTTGTCTCAATTTTCTAAAGTGCAGCTCTTGAAGAATTTCATTTTTTTAAAAAAAGTCACCCAAGGGGAGAAAAAATAAATGAATTTAATCTGAAGAGAGAATTTTAACACTCCCACAGAGAACTTCCGGGTCTGAAAACTCCACATGTTGCCATATGACGGTGCTGCTCAGAGGGTCTGACTTCATGGACAACAAGATGGCCACTCCTGTTTTATTCCGATGGCCTGCCCCGCACTCTGGGCTCACCAGCACCTGAAAGGAATTCTGTTAAGTGTTCTTGCCTTCAGAATTTGTCCTCTGATGCTACAAAGGTGATGGGCCTCACTATGGGGACACAGGAGTCTTTCCTATACTTACTCTTCCAGGAAAGGAGGGATAACAGCCTGCCTAATGGCAGAGCTTATTAAGGGACAAAGGGCAAAGGATGATTCGTTTCATACAAACAATTCAAAATAAAATGCTACCTAATGATGACAATCTCATGCCAAATGCTTGTCAGAATATACAAGCATGTAAATTTTAAGGAGGCTATTGTCTTCTGTGAGAAACACCAGCATACCTCACCTCATGCCAACCCTGCCCAGAAAACAATTCTGGCCAATCCTTCACACCATGGGCAAACCCTCTTTTGCTTACTTACTTCAGCTCAGACTTCTGATCCTAGTCATGTACTTGTCCGGGGTGGCTGCACTCATTACAGTGGTATAAACTGTGAAACTGAAAACAAGAAGAGGAATTTCTATATATACATATGCATAATTCCCCCTAATATTTCAAAAGAAGGCAGACGTGTCCAGGCTGTCCCGAACACACCTGGGTTCTAGGACAAGACTAGACAGAGGCCCATGAAATGTGTACAACGTATAAACCACGAAGTCAAAGTGTCCTTTGACAATACTGTGGCGGCCACTTTGCAATTTCAGATTCTCAGATTCCTCCCGGCTCTGTGCTGTGGCAGTGACAGCCAGCCTGGCTCACACCCTGGCTCCAGCCTGCTCCACGAGAAGCCTTCATCTTTTAGCCCCTCAACAGGATAGGATGTCCACAGTGGCTGTCCCCACCATCAGGAGTCCATGCAGGGGAGAGCACTATGTTCAGGCTGAGGTTCTGAGTCCTCGGGCCAAACTGAATGGGCCAGGCTTCTTCTATTGGGAAGGTGACAGAAGGCTAGAAGCTCACATGTCCCCTACCCCTACCCAGGTCCAAGGCTGACAAGCGCAATGTCACTTATTCCACACTGATAGCAAGAGACAAGCAACCCGAGCGCACGCGCATGCACACACACACACAATTTCACTTGCCTGCACCCCTGCTCCCCTCCTCCTGTGTTGGGAATAGGGTAGGGATACTGAGGCATGGGGCTGTGGTGCTGAGAGCAAGCAGAGTCAGCTGAAACAGCACTGTGAGTGAGCAGCACGAGCTCTCCTCTAAGGTTTTCTCTGTTGAAGGCCACAGGACTGAGCTCTTGCCAGACAGAGTGAGTCTGAAGCTCAGCACTTGGGGGAAGCATGGAACTGAGCTCCTGTGTGTACACAGCTCAGCTAACGAGCGAACGTCTCACAGCCAGTCTCCCTTGGAGCTCATCATCACCAGGGAAGGCCCAAGGTCGTGAGTGTGTATGTACCTGGCTCTGTGGCCATTTAAATGCCATTTCTCTTGGATTTTCAGGCATACAACAGAAAAAAGTGCTACTGGGTGCCCTGTCACAAGGTCTAACAGTTTTACTCTGCAAAACATTTCAGAAGCTATTGGACCTTTCACTCAGTAATCCTACTTCTGGGAATTCAGCAAAAGAAAAACCAATCCAAACTGGGAGTGAAGCTATATAAATATGTTTATTTCAGAGTAGTCTTTTCATTTGGTTTTCAATTTTGTTTTGTTGTTTTTTGTTTTTGTTTTTGTTTTGCAGGGGGCGTTGCTTTTGTTTCTGGTGTTTTTTGTTTTTGTTTTTTACAGTGCTAGGATTGTCTCAGACACATATGCTAGGCAAGACTGTACCAATGAGTGACACCCCAGCCCCAAGCTCAGAGTTGAATGGAGGAAAAGCTAACCGGAGGAGAATTTTTTTTTTTTTTTTTTTTTTTGGTACCGGGGATCAAACTCAGGACCTTGTACTTGCGAAGCAGGCAGCGGCACCACTGAGGTAAATCCCCAGCCCCCAAGAATTCTTAATTAAAATATACCTAATGCCATTATTAAGCCATTTAAAATTAGGAAGACTATTCAAAGCATAGAAAATGCTTTATTAAAATAAATATAACTAATTATAAAACCAGTGTTTATAAAAATAAAATCATCATTCATGTAATTATAAACTATCAGAACCCAAAGATAGCATTTTAATGCCCACTTTTAAAACAACTATAAGGGCATAATAGTGCCCCAGTGAAGGTACAAAGCCAGCTGCGTGTTGGTATTGCTGAGGACCACGAGAAGCAACTGCTCAATACACAGAAGTCTGTGAACCACCTGGAAGGTGGAAATCAGCCATGGTGGGAGTATGGGTTGGGCATCCCTAATCCAAAACTCCAAAATATAAACTGCTCCAAAATCCAAACTTTTGAGTTTCAGGTTGACATTCAAAATGTTTTGGATTTCAGACCACTTCAGATTTTTGGATTAGAGATGTTCAACTGGTAAAGTCTATGCAAATATTCCAAAAATGAAAAAAATCTGGAATCTTAAAAGCTTCTGATCCTAAGCATGCTGGGTACAAGATATTCAAGTTGTATTTTACAACACAGAAATTCATAAATACATTCCTTCCTTCTCCAAAGAGCTAAGTTATTAGAGACCACTGGGAATGATTCATTGTTCAAATAGCTCATGTGTCCTTAGAATATTCATTTAAAATGAGATTTCTAGGGCTGGGGATTTAGCTCAGTGATTCCACCACCTGCCTTGCAAGCACAAGGTCCTGAGTTTGATCCCTAGTGCCAAAAGTAAAGGAGACTTCTAAAACTACATTTGTTTTCTTATAGTTTTAAAGTAATTATGTGATAACTATATTTAAAAATTTTTATAATCCATGTATTTGCCTGGTACGGGGCGCATGCCTGTAATCCTAGCACTCTGGAGGCTGAGGCAGAAGGATCAAAAGGGTGAGCCCAGTCTGGGAGACTCAGTGAGAACCTGTCTCCAAAGAGGGGAGGTGGCTAGGGATGTAGCTCTGTATTAGGACCTTGGGCTTAGTCCCCAGTACTGCAAAAAAAGTGGGGTGGTTATGAACAGGGAACTGTGTAATAGGTAGGCGGGAGGTCCCCTTGGGAAGCTAAGAAGAAAGAAAAGTGTTAAAAGACCAGTGTGACCAAAGCCATGAAGGCGTCCCCACCAGTGCAGGCTGTCACAGTGCCAGGCGGATGGAACTTATCACTGCCCTCTGCCTCTGATCACCGTCCCTTTGGCCTTTGGTTTCCTTCATGAATTGTTCACCTGACTTGTGAGCTGTATATGTATCTCCTCCCCACCCCAGCCCACATGGGACTATTGGTCCCACAAGATCAGAGACGTTGTTTGTTCACTGACGACCTATGGCCGTAGGACACCTGGTCGCGGCACCTACATAAATGAGTGTGTGAGCGGGGTCACCATTCCGCGATGACAACTGAACAAACCAATGTGCTTGACATGTCACTTACTTGTTATAAACTGGAAACACTGATAAAACCTGCGTAGGAAAAATCATATTACAAGAATATTAGAAGAGGATGAAATACATAGGATAAACATAACCACTTAACACTTTAGTATATCTTGGGGTAATCACTGTAGACTTTTTAATCTTTGGTTTTTGGTGGTAGGGGAAGCACTTGGGATAGAACCCAGAGACTTTGTATTGAGCTTCATCCTCAGACCTTTCTGTATTCTGAGACAGGGTCTCACTAAATACCAAAGCTAAACTCAAACTTTCAATCCTCCTGCCTCAGCCTCCCAGAGTACCAGGATTTTGAGAGAGGCTGGTATAGCCCAGGCCAGCCTTGAACGCCTACCCCAGCCTTCTGAGTGCTGGGATCACAGGCACACACCACCACTCCCTGCTGCTCTTTAAAATAAAACAAAACAAAATAAAAACAATGAGCATATATTCAACTATGCCTGTTTCGCTTTAACATGAATGCAACCTTAGATGGTGACAGATAAAGATGGATACTTTTTCCTATATGGAAACAAGTTCAGAAAATATTGTGGCATTTTAAAAAGTACTTACAACTGCATAGAACTTTTTAATGTTATATTTTTATCCATACATTTCTTTGACTTCAGAGCAGAATTTTCTTCATCTCTACTAACTAAGACAGAAGTATCCTGGAGAAGTCAGACAACACAATACAACTTACCTGGAAAAGTACCTCCAGACTCAGGTTTGCCTGCCCTGTGGCATTTAGAGCTTTGATGGCAGGTGTTCTGCGTGGACAACAATCAAAGGTCACTGGGCACATCTGAACCCTTAGAGCTGCTTTGTGAGAGGCACAATGCAAGGTCCCTTCTCCCCCTCCTCAAAAAAGGCTCTGGCTTCCAAGCATGACCTGTCTTAGCTAGGACCACCCCAGTAGCATTCACTCAATAGCTGGCCTGGCCCCATGTGCTCCCCAAGGTGGGGACGATTGCCGCAGAACTTAATCTCCGCCACCACACCCATGAGGGAAAAGCCAAGTGAGGTCCACAGTCACCACCTCCTTGGGGACTCACTGGATAATAGAATTTTCACAATTAGAAGGGAAAATGAAAGCCCTGGACTATTCCCTTCCAAAAGTCTTACATAGAAGCCTCTAAATCTGGGCTCTCATTTCATGCTTCGGGTGGGTGATCAGAGGCCCCAGGGACTACAGAGTGAGTCACAGGGGGCTGGTGGTGGAATCCTCCCCGAAGGGCTCCTGACCCTAAGACCAGGGCCAACCGGATCCTCCCAACTCCCAACAACCTCCCCACTACCACAGGGGCCAAGGGCTTTTCCTGGAAGGGGACAGCACCTGGAGGTCTCTCTAGTCCCTGAAGTAGGAGGGAACAGGCTCCTAACCACAAGAAAACCTTACAAACCAGAAAGTGTACAGAAATCTACCTTCGGTCATCTGTCTTAGGCACTGGCTTCCAGTGGTCATAATTTGTCTCAACTCGGAACCACCTGAAACACAGCACATCCTCTCATCCAAGGTCATTTAGGACATAACTACTGAAGAAATATATCCTAGTTTCACCCGATCCACAAAACAGATTTTAATAAAAAAGAAAAAAAAAGACCAGAGCCTTCAGTTCTACTCACGCTCCATTCAAAGGATCTAGAGGCCAAATGTCTGCTGGGCCGCCTCTGTTCCTGGTGATGACCACTCCCTCCCCAGGGGATGTGCCACCAACGATGTAGTAAACATCAGCAATAAGGGGAGTCTTGGCCAATTTATAAACAGATGCTTCAAAGTCTTCTGACTCACTCAGGGTCTAAACGGAAAGACAAGCAAGCATTGGCAACATCATCAGAGACAGTGTCCACATCAACTGACGGACATATGGTCCAAAGCATTCGCTGCTGATATCTGAAGACCTGGCTACAGAGCTGCTCTGACTTTATCCTCCTGTCACTGAAACCTCAGCTTCAGTGGGGAGCCAACAGCAGTGGCCCTTTCTCAAGATAGGGTTGCACAGTTGATAAGTCCCAGACCTGGCTCAACAAATGCAACCAAGAGCTTTCAAGGAGATCTCGACACGGAGGACTTCCCTGTATCTCTGCTCACTTGTTCCTTCAACAGGGAAAAGGAATTCTTCATGAATTCCTCCTGTGTGTGTGGTCAGCATTGGAGTGGGGCGAGAGCAGTATGACTGACCTGATCCTTGTTCTCCCCAAATATCCAAGGAAGACAGAAAAGTCAACAAGCAATGGTGACCCTGCGTAAGAAGTGTTAGCATGGGAAAAGGGAGTGACAGCAGGGAACCATGCTCACCAGTGAAGCAGGCATCTCAGGGCAATATAACAAGAGCTGTGCCCAAAGAGATACACTGAAGTCAGAATGGCCAAGTGGCAGTCGCAGGAAGAGGAGTGGGGAGGGGAGCAAATTCTGCCTAGATGGACTGAAGTGGCAAAGCCACTGGATGGAAGAGCACATGGGACACTTGTGAAGAGCTTCCTGGGTGTTCTCACACTCCTGAGGAGCCTTAGGAGTCATCCAAAGGCTGGCAGCATCGACAGCTTCCTAGGAGCTCTGTGCCTGAGCTGATCTGCTCAACACCACTCTGCTGAAGAGGGCCAGCCCCTCCTACCTGCACCTTCAGTCATTCTCCCACCACTCGAGGAGAGATGTACATTTTACGCTCCCCCACCTCGAGTATTGCCAAACCTCACTGTCATGAGTGGGAGTGGGGACAGGTTCAAACAAAAGAACAATTCAAAATATGAGGGTCTACAATGGCTTCATCATTCAGAACTGCAAGCCCATGACAGAGCTTTGTAATGTTTCCCTGCCTTCATCCCATTAGGGTGAGATGTCTTGATTTAAATTGGTTTATTCTGAGCTCAGCAGGATGCTACAGGGAGGTAAGAAGAGTGAAGGGATATTTGTTTGATTACGCTGCCTCGTCACTGCCCAACTATCATCAAAGATTGAATCTTATAGAGGCGAAGACAGGGAAAGCAAGGCTGAGCTGTCTCAGGAAACAAGGCAGAAATGAGGACTGACCACTAACAGCAAGGGATCTCTTTTTGGAGGAATGAAAATGTTCTCAAATTGTGCTGTTGCCTGACAACTCTGAACACACTAGAAATCAGTGAGCTGTAGATGCCAAGTAGCGAGTTATATGGCACGTGAATTATACCTCATTCGTATCTCCTTAAGGCCCCTAACTCCATGTCACGAGCCGGCGACGCAGAGCACTGTCCAGCAGTGCCTCAAACCTGAAAGAGCAGCGGGGTGGAGATGGGGCAGAGAGAAAGGAAGGACGCCAAGAGTCTGATCATGGCGACGTTTATTGCCGGCAAGCGTCAGCCTTTTAAAGCAAAAAAAAAAAAACAAAAACAAAAAAACAAACAAACAAAAAAACCCACAAACTATTATGGGATGGGGTTACCATAGTAACTGAAAGGTCACACAGGAAAAGAGCAAACAGGCTCAACAAAAACAACGCACCGTGGGTAGCAGTAACCCAGACAACCACACATCTAAAGGTCAGAGACAAGAAACTGTAACTTTCAGGAATTCCACAAAGGAAACACACCACCTGCTAAACTGGAGAAATTTAACACATATGGAGTTACTAAAGTTTACAATACTTACAACCAATACTCATGATCCCCACAACTCCACTCTTAAGTAATTACCCAGCTGAAATGAAACGGACGTAGATGGTCACAAAAAGACTTGTATGAGAATTTCCACAGAAGTCTTATCACACTAGCTCCAGGGCCAGGGATTTAGCTCAGTGGTACTATGCCTGTCTTGCAAGCTCAAGGTCCTGAGTTCAATTCCCAGTACCAAAAATGATGATGATGATGATGATGATGATGATGATGATGATGATGATGATACTACATCCAAACTGCAAACAACCTAGTGTCCACTGATGGGAAAAGGATAAATTACAGCATATTCATAGGCTTGAATGTTCTTCGGCTATGGAAATGAGCTAGTGAAATGAACAGTATGATGGGACTGGAACACAAGAGGCTGGGTGAGAGGACAGCTCATAGTCTACATTTTCATGCATATGAATTTGAAAACAAGCAAATCTTGTCTGTGGTAACAGATGACATCAAAGAGCAGGTATCTGGGGCACAGAGTAGGCAGAGTGGCGTGGGCACAGGGTGGGGACTGGTTTTAAACAAGCACTAGGGAAGCTGCCAGGGACTTGGAGATGTTCTATATCTTGTTTCCTTGGCAATTACACAGCTAAGGGAGTATGTGTAATGACCAAAACACACTGAAGTAAACCCTTAAGATCTGTGCATTTCACTGTATGTATGAATGGATGTATAAATTATACATAAAAATTTAAAAGTCATTACAGTGTTTTATATTTCAGTGGATAATTATAAATGGTTTATTTTAATGCCTTTTTTTTTTTTTTGCATACTAAGGCCCAAACACACAGCCCAGTGCATGCTAGCCAAGTGCTCTACCACTAAGCTACATCCCAGCCTCTTATTTTTAAATGCCAACATTTGCGATACACTGGATATTTTGCAGTTCTGAATTTTCTGGTGAAAATTTGCTTCAGAACATGAGGTGGACGCAGCTTGCCAGCATATGTAGGAAGTAAGGGGCTGAGGTGGACAGCAGGGAGGCAGGAGCCAGGTGAGTGAGGGCAGAGCGGGGCTGGCCAGAAAGATACAGGTTGGGCAGGGCCAGATCCTGGCTCCAGACAAGTGCTCCCAAAAGTGGGCTTTCCGCTCCCAGTCACAAGTGACATGTGGCCTGGAACCTGCTCATGTTAACAGGTCCGTGCATTTGTTCTGCTACTCTGGAAACCTGTAAGTGGAGATTCTAGGAGTGCACGTCTGTATTCATAGAAATACCCTTATGTCAGGCAAGTATTATCAGAAACCTCTGGGCCATAACAAAGAGTCTCTCCTTGACCAAACTAGCCAGGCTCTACCTGCCTTATCCTTGGCCCCCAAGGAGGAACAAACACTCCCAGTTTCTAGCAGCTCAGTGTCACATTCCCAAGATGACCCTAACCTTCCTTCAAGTTCCTGTCTGGGAAAACTCAAGGCCCTCAGAAGAGTTTGTTGCTCCAGTCAACACCTAAAACAGAGTCCTTGCTCCATCCTAGGTGGAAGGGTAGGAGCCCAGTTTCAGCAAGGCCACTTTCAACATCCAGATGGGTCACATGTGGACCAACCTCTTCTTTCCACTCGTAACTGTCCACTCTCTGACTATACTAAGCATCCATTGATCCACTGCCTAATCCCTCACTCTTCTCCCCACCCCAGCCCCATAATGGGCACTGAAATCAATAGTGCTCTACCACTGAGCTACGTACATGACCAGCTCTTTTAAAAAAAATTTTTTTAGCTGGATGTGGTAGCACACGCCTGTAATCCTAGCACTCAGGAGGGTGAAACAAGAGGATCAGCATGAGTTCAGGTCTACCGTGAATTCAGGATTTCATAGTGAGGTCAAGGCCAGCCTGAACTGCACCGTGAGACACTGTCTCAAAAACGAAAGACAAAAAAAAATTTTTTTAATTTTGAGAAAGGGTCTTACCAAGCTACCCAGACAGGGCCCCGGCATGACCCTCCTGGCTCAGCCTCCCTCCGTTCTGGGAATACAGGTGTGTGCCACTTTGCCCACCTCCTCGCTCTTTCTAATACCCAGCCACCTCTGCACAAATCAAAACCGAGTTCACGGTAGATTCTTAGTCCGATTCCAATAATATACTTCTGATTAAACTCTGTCCTTACCACTTTAGGGCCTGGCCTTGACACTTCTGAGCAAAAGGTTTATAAACACTTTGCAAACATTTAGATGCTTATTCTTTTCAGGGCCTTCTCACATTAAGAACAATAAATTACCGAACACAGAGTATGGTCATATGAGCATCCTGGAGTGGAAGACAAAGTCAGGGAGAGAATACTCACTGTGCGGATGAGCCAGCTGACAGGAGAGTGGCCCTGGGAAAGGGCCGCGATCACATTCTCCCACCACCAGCCTTTATCTGCCGAATTGAAGAAGGAACAGTAAGCTTGTTGTCCAAGCACACCTAAACATTTTTTTCTTAAATTTGGGGTTTTCTTCCCATAAATGGGCTGATGGGGGAGAAAGGTTGGTCGATGGAGAGTGACTTTATTAGTATCCAGTTTTCAAAGATTAAGCCTGAATTTCACAGCAACCATACAAACATTACACACGTATGTGCACAGGTGTGTGTATGTACACAATAAAATATACGCAACAAAGTTCTCAAAGAATCTTTTCTATCCCAGTACAATGATTATAATACTAAAATCATTCTGTTTAAAATTAAATTATATATCTTCCAAGAGAAATAGTTCAGTAAATATTAGGAAGAATATAGAGAACTTATCTTTATAATTTATGCACTTAAGACCTTAAAGTATGATTCATGCACACATCTTTGGTTGTTTTCCTTTTTAACTCTCTTTGACCTCACATTTTTTAAAAACTGCAAATCTTCAGTCAATCCCCATATTACTTTTCTTTTAAAAGTTTCTGCAGGCCAGGGATTTAGCTCAGTGGTTCCATTGCCTGCCTCACAAGTACAAGGACCCAAGTTTGATCCCTGGTACCAAAAAAAATTAAAAGTTTTTGTAGAGGATTTCTGTGTAGGAAATAAGCCATAGCAACAAGAGATAAAAGAGATAAATTAGACTTTATTAAAAATTTAATGATTCTTAGTAGTAAAAACAGTATCAAAGGAATAAAACAGCAATCCATAGATTGGGAGAAAACATTTGCAAATTATCTGAAAAAGCACTGGTATCAAAAAATATAAAGAGAACACCTAAAATTCAACAACAACAAAAAAAAACAAATTCTAAAATGCAGAAAGGACTTGAACAATTATTTCTCCAAAGAAGATATACAAGTGGTTGATAAGCACATGAAAAGATACTCCACATCACTCCTCATTAGAGAAATACAAATGAGGTGTCACCTCATACCTACTAATATTTTTTAAAAAATAACATGTTGACAGAAATGTGGAAAATTAGAACACTTACACACTGTTGGGCAGATGTAAAATGGCATAGCCATGTGGAAAATAGTATGGCAGTGCCTTGGAAAACCAAAAATAGAATTATCAAGTGATCTTTTCACGTCTATTTACACACCCCAGTGAAGTGAAGACAGGGTCTTGCACAGACATTAGTATAGCAACATTGGAATGGAATGTTATTCAGACTTAAAGGGAGGAAATTCTGACACACATTATAATATCACTGAATCTGAAGGACAGTAGGTTAAGCAAAATAAGCCAGTCCCAAGACAAATACTGCATGATTCCCTTTATTGTAGGTACTTAGGAGTAGTTAAAAATCACAGACAGACAGCAGAAAACTGGCCCCAGTAGTGGAGGGAAGTATGGAAAGTGAAAAACTTTTTCATGGGTATAGAGTTGTTTTAGTTATACAAGATGAAAAGAGCTACAAAGACAGATGGGGATAATGGATGTACATTATAAACATATTTAGTACCACAGAATTGTACATTCAAAAATGGCTAAGATGGTAAACTTTACGTCACGTGGATTTTACCATAAAAATTTTAAGAAAACAAGCTTAAATTGGAAAAACATAAGCACTGAGCACTATGTACCATATACTGATTTGGCCCAGATCCTTGTAATTTAACAGTAGAAACTAGTATAGCATTAAATAAGCCATGTTTTGATACCTGTAGTAAAAATATAAAACCTTGTAATTGTGAGTGATGAGGGAAGCCTCCTTTCGGGAGAAGCACTGTAGACAGCCTCCAAGCTGTCAACATTTGAGCCAGGATAGGCAGAGCATTCCAGTGAGAAGGCACAAGCGGCAGGCAGGCAGCAGGAGGACAGGAAACTCAGGGAAGCAGGAAAGGAGCGAGAAGAGAGGGTGGGCACAAGTGAGGTGCAGGAGGCCACCAACAGGGCCCTGAGGCCAGAGCCAGAATCCTGAGTTTGTTCTACATGAAATGAGAAGTCACCATAGGGATTTTTTTTTGGGGGGGGGCATTCTTGAAGTTTTTATTTTTATTTTTAATTGACAAATAATTGTACACATTTAGAAGATACAAGGTGAATTCAATACCTGTGTATTGTGGAATGAACAAAGCAGACTATCATGTCCATTGTCTCACATACTTTTTTTTTTTGTAGTGAGAACATTTAAAATCCCCTCCATTAGCAATTTCAAAATATACTTGATTAGTCACCATGATGTGACTAGGGGGTCACCAGAATTTAGTTCTCCTGTCCACCTAAGACTTTGTGTCCTATGAACATTTCTTTTATGCACCCTTTCCACCTCTATCCTCCAGTAACCACTGTTCATACATGTTCATATTTTCATACATGAGTTCAAAGTTTTAAGATTCTGCCTATAAGTGAAGTCATGAGTTATTTGTCTTTCTGAGCCCCAGGGGGTTTCAGACAAGGTGACCACCTGATCATTCCAGCAGCTGGGTAGACAAGGAACTACAGGAGGCGAGCACAGAGCCAGGGGAGCAGGTGGCCAGCCAGGCGGGGCGGGGGCTGGGGGAAGAATGACCCAGTTCAGTCTAGTGGACAGGTGACAACACTCAGGGGCTAAGGGGTCAAAGATAACTTCGGGAACAATCGGCTGGGCAGAGGCATCATTTCCTGAGATGTGCAGAGTGAAGAGAACAGATCTGGGTAAAGGCAGAGTGGGGCCTGAACGAGGAAATGAAGAAAGTAAGAGACCTGCTGAGGCCCAGCAGACATCAACGAGGAGGTGCTGAGAGGTGGGTGGGGACTCCAGGCTGGGGCTCAGAGGAAGTTTTCACCTGAAGAGGTGACAGGAGCAAAGGCTTCTTAACCTGTGCTGGAAATGCCTGGAGTAAGTACATATACTAACTCCCTCTGTGTGAGTGTGAATGTGGATGTGGGGGGGGTATGTGTGCGTGTGTGGTGCTGGGGATGGGGATGGGGCCCAGGGCCTTCCTACTGAGCTATGTATCTAGCCTTTTCTAAAATTTAGTTTGAGACCAAGTCTCACGAAGTCACTAAGTTGCCCAAGCTGTGTTAGATTTTGCAGTTCTCCTGCCTCAGCCTCCCAGGATACTGGGATTACAGGCCTGCACCCCTACATCCAGCTATATTAAATCATTTCACTTCTAAAGCAGCTTTTCAGAAGAGGAAACTGAAGCACAACTAGGTGAAACCCCTATAGCTTCCATTATACTTTAAATCCAAACCCGTCAACATGCCCCTGCACCCTGGTCTCAGTGACCTCTCCACTCCTACATCACTATCCCTCACTTCCGGCTGTCATCACACAAACCTGGTTTTGTTTCTATAATCCAGAGGTATTCATGAACCGGCTTCTGCCTGTGGTGTGAGTCCACTGGGAATGGCTGGCCCCAATCTCTGCAGAGCTGCTGCAGGGAACCCCTGGGGGAGGCCTTCCCTGACCCCTCCCACATGCCCCCTTCAGCCTTTGGCAGGACTTCATGATGAGAGACTGCCACTGCCTCCTCCCTCACCAGGACGGAGCCCGTCCCTTGGCAGTGCACTTGCATGGGTTTTGTCGGGCAAGAGAAAGAGGCACAGGGACAGAAGTGAAAAGGGCTGGGGTTACATGCTGCTCAGGAGCGCTTTCTCCTTTACCTCGTTCATCGCCAGACACTGTGAACTTGTTTGGGCTCTGGCCGGTCCACAATCCTACGTAGCCAATAAAAGTGGTTCCCGTGAATGCAATCTGAAACCAAGACTGGTGTCATTTCATTGTGCCAACAAAAATGGATTAAAATCACCTGTCTTTGTCCCACAATTTCCTGGACTGTTTTTCTTGTAAGTCCTGGTGATGATGATGATGATCTCTGAAATAACCTTCTCAAATAGAAGTTCTTAATCCTGGGGCCGAAGATTTAGCTCAGTGGTTCCGCCGCCTGCCTCGCAAGTACAAGGACCCGAGTTCGATCCCCAGTACCAAAAAAAACAAAAAACAAAAAGAAGTTCTTAATCCTGGAAGTCCCTGGGTCCCTGGGTAGAATCCAGTAGAATAAACTGGATGGGAAAAAAGGTTATGTCTTCATTTTCACCAAACTCCACCGGAAATTCAACTCCTTCTATAGTGAATGCCTACAATAAATCATGCCCTGTTGATTCTACCAACGGTAGGAACCTCAGGTATTTTCACATGCACACTGGTGGTTGCAGATAAGTGGAGATATCACCTCCCAGTTGTCACACCTCTGAAATCACGCTCCGTAATCTCAGTGCTATATATAAAAAAAGTATAACAGTTAAAAAGTTATAATATTAAAATGGCCATCTTTCAACATAAACTATTTTCTCTGTAATGCAATATATTTCATTTTATGCACTTTAAAACATTATTCACCAAAGGGCTCATGCCCAGAGAAATCCCATACTGAAAAACAGCAGATGGAGTCTGATTCCAAAACTTGTTTTGGAGTGAGGATGCAGCTTAGCAGTGGAACATTTCTATAACATGCTGGAGACCCTGGGTTCAATCCCCAGGAAAACAAAAATCTTAAAAAGTTATTTTGCCTTGATTATAAGAGATAAATATAATTTCATAAGTGGGACTGCTCATCAATAATAGTCACACTGAAATTTTAAATATTTAAAAAGTCATTTTTGTATAAGTCTTTCATTTAATGCTACAATTACCCATGAGTGAGACGGATTACCTCCACTTTAAATTACAGTGATACCTCAGTTCATGAATGCTTCTGTTTGCAATCAATTTGGTCCACAAATGGAAGTGACTGGCAAAGTTTTGTTTTTGTTTGCAAACTCTGCATCAGGTGACCGACATGACCTCAGCCATCTTCCATACCCAAATAAAAATGTGGCCATCTTTTCCCAAATCACAGAACAAATTAAATTTGTCAACCAAGGTACCACTGTACTCTAATAAACTCTGATTGAAAGAAACTACTATATTACCCCAGAAGAAAAAAACAAACTCTAGCAGTTCTTCTAATACCGGATTTTAATTTTCAAGGAAATGCTCAGAACAATTTGTAGAGTATATTATCTAAAAGTTAACTAATGTGTTCATATATATTAAGAAACGTATTAGGTATTTTTCCTTAGAAAACCTAATCTTCAGTCCGTAATCTCTTTTTCTTGAATGACTTATCTTACCTGAACTGGTTGTAGAAACAAGTTAAGGTGGTTAAATCACAAGGGGGAAGGCAAGAGCGTTAGTTTTCCTATCTCCACACACAGCATAAAAGGACAGGAGGTTAATTCTATAAGGAAAAAAAGAAGTAATTCTAGGGTCCCCTAATTTGCAGACACATTGGCCTCTATGCTAGTGTTACTTCTAGAGGGCTGAGAAAATTAAAGTTATGAATATCAAAGTCACAGTGGTTTCCAATTATGACACATAACTATCAGATACAATTTGTAAGATGCATTATCTTGCAGTTTTATAAATCTTTATTTCTAAATGTTAGTAGATCTCCTTATCTGTCAGTTAAAAAGCACAACCCCTTAGCAAGGACTAATTTACAATGTAACTAAGGGTGGGATTTGGCCAAGAAAAAAATTTTTAAAAAAGCTAAACAAGAATGAGAGATGAAGTATTGTGTGGATAGCTGCTCTCAATTCAGCGAAACCATTTATTGGCCCTGGTCCTCTGTAAACCAACAAGGTTTGGCAATAACAACCTGATCAGAGGGAGCCCCGAATGGACTGCTTCTCATGGAGCATTAGGCATATGTGATGGCAGAGACCACAACTACCAGAGTGAGTCTCAAAGAGAACAGCTGGAATCGCTTATTTTTATTGCAATTATTCCTTTGCCTATCCTCACTGTAGAATCACGGAGAAAAGCATAAAGTAATAAAATAATTATGCTATCATTCACTAGTAAGTTAACATTTTAGCAAATTTTCTTTAAGAATTTATTACACATTTATAGGACCACTTATTTTACCACTTAACATTGTCTTTGAAGTAAACCTTGAGCTACCTATCAAATTAATAGTCACAAAGTAAAGCATTTTGGGAAAGGAGAAACTTTCACTTAAAACTATTTCTGTACTGCTTTAATTTTTATGAGGAACAAGTATTTTATATACAAGTGTTTTTGTTAATTTACTGATAATAATTTACACTTATAATTTATGGTTTTTTGAGACAAGGTCTCAATATGTTTGTAGTGCCTCTTGCTGTCACTGCCTTGTAGGCATCATGTTGCTTCTCTCTGCAGTGCCTGTTTTCCATCCCCGCCTTGGAGCCAGCTGATTATGGATTGAAACCTCTACAAACTATAAGCCAAATAAACTCCTTCCCCTTTAACAACAAAACAACAACAACAAAATACATGTAGTGGGCTACTATGTAGCCCAGGCTGGCCTCCAATTCATAGCGATGATCCTCCTGCCTCAGCCTCCTAAGTGCTGGGATCACAGGCTTGTGCCACCACACCTGGCAAAACAAGTTTTTAGGATTACTGAATCAAGCCCCAATTCCAAAGATCCTTAAAGATAAAAATGTGTCTTTTACATGTCATGTTCTACTTCTCAGCAATAACAAGTTTTGCTTGTGTATTCAATGAATATGGATTCATGCTGTCTCTTCTGAAGCTCTTATAAGTCCTGCGACAGCAATAAATATTAGATGATACTTTCAGGGACCAGGTTGAAAACAAAATGACCTAAGCCTAATTTTTTAAAGCCCTTACACAAGAGTGGTGTGGGTCAATCACACTTGTAGAGGGAAGGTTTATTATGTGGCCACTATTTATCAAACACCTACCACATGCTTTACACACAGGATTGCATCTAATGTATGGCAACAGTGTAGTTATGAACCCCTCTGAGCTTACTCTACAGAAACAGGCAGGCATCATTCTCCAGGTTCATAATGGAAGGAATAGAAGCAGGGTTCAAAGCCAGGACTGAGAACCAAAGCTGTCACTGCAGTCCTTGTGCCTCGCTGTTCCAGAAACAGCTTTAACGCAGGAAAGCGGAGGAAGGAGCTGATTCCAAACAGCAGGTGAAGACTCACCAGACCCCAAAAGAGATTTCCTAAGGAACACTGGTTGACCTCTAGTAGATGCTGATTAACAATAAATGACCTCCCAGCACTCAGGAGGCTGAGGCAGGAGGATCACTGTGAGTTCAAGACCAGCCTGGGCTACATAGTGAGTTTCAGGTCAGTCTCAACTACACAGTGATACCCTGTCTCAAAAAACCAAAAAATAAAAAAAAGGACCACCCCTCCAAGCATAACTGATGTATGTCTCTCTCCTAGTTTGTTTTTGTATCCTACAGTGATAATGGATCTATTGTATTTCCCCCAAAATAAGACCTACCTGGAAAATAAGCCCTAGCATGATTTTTCAGAGTACTTATAAGCCTCAGTTAAATCCTCTGCCAGACAGATGCATATAGTACACCCACTGCAACCCATGATGGACACTGAATTATAAAATATTAATATAAAATTAAACATAAGTAATATTATTGACATTAGTACTTAAAATAAATGACAATGTAACTTATAATTAAGTGTAAATACCCAAGTGGGCACCTTTGGAAAAGAGGTAAACACATACATGAACACATGAACTCGAGACGTTTTGCCGAATGACCAGAGTATACACACAATGCACAAACAGCGTGCATACCTGATAACACATGTATGTAGTTATGTCTAACCTGTATCTCCATTAATGGATGGGGTTGTAACATACTTAATGTATTGGTGTGCAGTAAGGAAACATTTTCTGAATCTTAGCACCTGAATTTTTTCATGGCGTTTTTTTTTTTTTTTTTTTTTTTTTTTTAAGTAGAAGTTTTATTAAAGGTAGGAAAAGAAACTGGCTTTGCAGAGTCAGTATGGGCCATGTAAAAGTATGAAAAGAAGCACACACTACAGCAAGAAGGCAGGTCACCATGCAAGACTGAACACAGTGGCCTAGACCGTCATTCTTAACTGTTATCATTTTCGTTGCCACTCCTATCTGGCAAGTCCTCAAGTAACACTCGATGTAATAGAAACTTTGTGAAGCCCAGCCTACAAGAGGTCGTGACTTGGGTGAAGAATTCATGGAATAAAATCACTGACAGTTGTTGCCAATGCGTTACAAGCAGGCTACATGGACAAGAAGTGCTCGTTTAAAGAGAGCTCTATTGCTGGACATGATAGGTTGGGGCCAATGATTCTACAGGAAGCAGAATTCCAAGAAATTCAGGCTGGAATTCAGGTTTGGAGAGTCATGATGTTCTAGAAGATGAAATGACTGTATCTGAATAAATGTAGATTTTTGTACATGAATAAATTCAGATTTTATACATAAATAAATGAATAAAAATTGTTGTATGTGAAAAAAAATGAGACACCCACTGAAAATAAGCCCTATCACATCTTTTGGAGCAAAAATTCACTTAAGAGCCAGTCTTATTTTCAGGGAAATACAGGAAGTTAGCTGGCCATTTAAGTGACTGTTGATGTGGTCTAGAATGGACCATACCTGCTCATTCTTTAAGAACTGCACATCCACTGTCAGCTTGCGTAAGAGATCTCCAAAAGAGTAGTCCAGATTCCGACCGTGATAAATGTGGCCTCTGGTGTCTTGGGCCACAATACTGGTGCAAAATCTGAAAAGGAGAAAAGCCCGCGATGAATGGTGAAACAATAACAAGGAAAATGGGGTTTTCCTTTTTAAAATAAGTCCACAAAGTTACATGGTATTTTTTCTTACAGTTGACATATATATTACAATTCTTATACAAAACTACGATTCACATTCAAGCTGAAAAAAACACCCTACAGATACAACTCACCTGCTCCTTCAGTGTTATCAGACCTTAGCCCTGGCCACACGGATGGTACAACAAACATAATGCATGGAGAATTTCATATTCAGTTACTTTCTTTTTCTAAAGAGAGACTTGTTACATAGCTCTGGCCTCAAACTTGTGATCCTCCAGCCTCATCCTCTATACTGTTGGGATTATAAGCATGCACGACATTCCTGGCTTTCAACCACTTCCTTGAGAAACTGATGCTGAGCTCAGCTAGACTGCTGAACTTTGCTTCCATATTCCACCTAAAACTACTCAGAGCTAGGTTAGGCCTACCTCTCCACAACACGGATTTTGCTGACCATGTTCGATGGCATTAGATCATTCATTGCCACAACGCTTCATTTTGTCCCCTTGGGAAGATGGTCAGATCTTTAGGGGCTCAGTACTATTCCCGCCCCTCTCAAAACTCTCTGCACACAGGTAGTAAGAGAAAAGGATTTCTAAAGAACTTCCGACTCAGCTGGGCATAGTGATGCACACCTGTAAACCCAGCACATAAAGTATAGCTCATTTTATTCTGACTCAAACAACATTCTTTCCAAAATGAGAGCTAAACATGGCCTTTGTGCAGGAGTGGGGGCCACACACCTATAATCTCAGCACTCTGGAGGCTGAGACAGGAGGATCCCAAGTTCAAACCCAGCCTGGACAACTCAGGGAGAGCCTGTCTCATTTCTGTGCAACAGGATTGTGATGAATTTTTTCTCTACATTTCTCGCTACTGCTGATTTTCTGCAATGGTTACGTATCACTTTTATAATTAAGAGACAAAGTGTTACTTAATCTTTTGTTGTTGTTTTTCTGATTGTTTAAAGAAGGAAGCTTCGTTGGGTTTTAATTCTTTTTAAGGGTTCTCATCTTCAAAGGGTTCATGTCAGGGAGGGAACTGACACACTTGGGAAGGACTAAAGCAGAGTTTGCAGAGTCACTGAGAAGGTTTCAAACTTGGTCACACACCCCCACCCTTCCATCTCATGCCCAAATGCTACAGCATGACATAGTGCACAATACAGGACCATGGGGACACCAGCCCCACTGTGGGAAAGGCGCAAAGGGCACTGGAGACTTGCGTGCTTTTAACAGCACCTCTGGAACTCACCAGCAAGGAGACTGCCAGCATACTGTTCCCTCTGAGGTTTGGTTTCCACATCACAAAACAGAAAATACCATCTTTCCCCTGGGGCTACGTTCACAAAGTAAGTGGTACCCAGTAGGCTCAATAAAGTGTAGCTCGTAAGATTCTGACTCAAACAGCATTGCTTCCAAAATGAGAGCTAAGCATTGTCTTTGGGCAGGGCATGGCGCCACACACCTGTAATCTCAGCATTCTGGAGGCTGAGGCAGGAAAACTGAGTTTGAGGCCAGCCTGGGCTATAAAATTAGACTCTGCCTCAAAAACACAAGCCAAAAGATCTCCAAAACAAGACAAATAAAAACCATTTTCTTTTTTAAAGCTAGTGGAATCTGAAGGTGTTTCATGTTATTAAGCAATTTAATAAATACCTTAATCTGAGATCTGGAAGTTAAATGTTTTACTAGACTTTTCGCTTTAATCAGCTTGAGCAGTGACTCCAAATGAGAGGGAAAAATGATTTGTCATTTTTCATTAAGAAAGGCACAGATCGAGCCGGGTGTGGTGGCGCATGCCTATAATCCCAGCACTCGGGAGGCTGAGGCAGGAGAATCGCTGTGAGTTCAAGACCAGCCTGGGCTACATAGTGAGTTCCAGGGCAGTCTCAACTACATAGTGAGACCCTGTCTCAAAAAACCAAAAAAAAAAAAAAAAAAAAAAAAAAAAAAAAAAAAAAAGAAAGGCACAGATCGGAATAGGACAGTTAACTTAAAAGCACTTTAAGTTACTAGGACTGCCTTTCATGGGTATGAAAGAGGAAGGCAGTCATGGCACTTCCAAACTTACTTTCCTAGTGTTCTGGGAAGATGCCAGAGGCAGTAGTGTAATTTTTATTCTCCCAACAGCTTCCCCCTCTTCAACTTCAGGCACCTGGAAGCTAGGAAGCTCTCCCTACAGGAGGTGGCAGAACAGTAAGTAGTCCAGGCAGGAGCCTAGTCACCCCTCCCTGAATGGCGGGACCATTAGGAGCCTAGAAACACCTAAGGGTCACCCTGCACTGTGCTGGGACCACCTGCACTCCCCAACTCGTTCTGGCTTTGGGTGTCCAGTGGGCAGACCAAACTGGCCTTGCTGGAGCAGAACGCCCTGTGAGCCCAGCCCGGGCGGAAGCTGACCCTGCAAGAGTGGTCAGAATCACCAGTCAGGACAAATGTAAAGGATAAATCCAGCGGCACAAGGGGAACAGGACAGCCTGCTGTGGGCAACAGCCAGGGGGTCACCAGGCTAACCAGAGGGGCCCAAGAGATAAAGCTACTTCCAAACACCTCGGGAACAGTACATTTTGACTAGAGACTGGAAGTGGGGTGCTATCTGTGGGGTGGAACGAAGACAGGGGCTCGGGGCAGAGCGAAGCTGCTTTCTTTCTGGAAGCCCAGGACCTACTGCTCAGGTTTCCCAGAGAAGTAAGGGCGAAGTCACTCGCTGGTTTTTATGGCACTGAGAACACATCTCCCTCTCAGCGGCTCCCACGGCCATCCCGGAGCCCTGGAACACTCACGCAGAGGACTCATAGGCCAGGTTGATGAGGAGGCCATCAGCCAGACTGAGGTTCAGGAAGTCGCTCATGCCGCGAATCTCCTCCGTGAAAGGCTGAGGCAGGAAGCTCTCCATTTCTGCCACCAGCTTTCCGATCGCCTCGAGGACCCACTTTGGGACTCTGTCACTGGAAAGGAAAGCACCAGGGTGTGTGGCCAGAGGGACAGAGAGAGCGGGTGTGTGTTAAATGCCTGCACCAGGGACGTCTGGGAGCAAAAGGCAAAGTCCCAGAGACTGAGCCCAAAAAGGCAGTTGTTGCGGACGCCGGAGGCCCGCAGGGTGCATCTCAGGGACCATGACAGGGTGTACCCGGGAGCCCCGAACCCGGGAGCCTGGCCACAGGGTGCGCCCCGCAGACCGCGCAGCTCACCCCACGATCCGCGC